TCATGACTACATATAAATAATTAAAAATAAGTTTAAGAGGATGCTTCAAAAGAAATACACAATACAAGTAATGTAGTTTGTGTCATTTTAATAAACACACTTGCATAGTTATATTACAATTTTGTAAAAATAAACACAGATTACCTCATGCCAAGCGTGCCCAGCATCTGCACAGTCTCAAGACCTTTAATACTATAGTTTCAAGACACACAAAATAAAAATTTAAGGCAAAAACAGCACTTTGCAACAATTTAATAACTTATTACAGTAGCATCACAGCAGCATCCAATAATGCCACTTTAGGCAAAGTCTCTCAGTATTTCCATTATAGATTCTATTTACAAGAGTTTATAACTTGGTAAAATTTTCTCTAAGAAAACTTGGCAAATAAAGCTTTGGACTGGAATTGACATTTCTTTCTCTACGTTTCCTTCCCCCACTTTCTTTTAAACTATTAGCATTTCTTACTGTATTTTAAAATAATAAAATAGCAGTTATGTTTTTTTAATAGTTGCATTATTGTAAAATGACTCTAAGTTTTAGAGGAAACTATGCAATGGGTAGGACTGATTTGAATTTTCAAATTTTCTAAAAAATCAGCTTTGGTTTTACAACTGATGTTTTCACTGCTGGAAAACCTGTCAGATTTAATCACATACTTTAAAAAATGATTATCACATACTATAATCTTTAAATAAACCGGTTTTAATAAATAGGTATTTTGATTCTTTACTTCCCACGAGGTTCAAATTTATTCCCATTTTAAGGTTCTGTGTTCCTGATAAACTCTTTCCTTCTGTTGCTTTCTAAGCAAATTGAAAGCTGCCTCTCACACTGAACAAGGAAGAGAGCAAATGCATGGCTGAGTATGAGGTACTGCAAAGGAATGATTGCATGCATTTTTAAGGACTATTACATGTCATAAAATTTCCTTTACTTTTAGCTTTCTCTCAAATATATGGTAAAATACCTACACAAAGAATGGTATTTCAGTAAATACGGTAATTTTATTTTCCAGACCAACATTTAGCTTAAATATGCCATTAAGTGATTTGATTTAGCTCCTGGGTACTTGATGAATTCATTATTTTCAGATTGATTACAGATGCTAAGCTCCACCTGAATGTCATTCTTAGTCACTTATATTTATCAGGATTACAGTGAAGCAATTTGAGCAGTAAAAATACCTTTGAAATAATTTACCAGTGTCTTAGATAAGCCCAAATTCAAAATTATAGAGAGAATATGTTATACCAAACTGTGCAGCTAGTTAACAGGTCTGATTTCCAACTTGAGGGTTTAAAATGGATTTAAAGTAACTGTACTTAACCCGAACCCACCCAAAGAGTGCAAAAGTGGAGAGTTCAGAAAATACAAGGCAAGACCAAGTAATCCGTACAATCTGGAAGATCAGGTGAGTTCTCAAGGACTCAGTCTTTGCACTATCTCCTTTAGTAACTGCGGGCAAATCTGTTATTCCACTTGGTAAAGTGTTATTATTGCTTTCCTATTAATGTCATATTTTATAAAAGTATCATGATGATGCCAAATGCTAAAAATTGAGGTGGTCTAATAACTAGAAATCCTGCCCCAGGGAGCACACATACACATCATCACACACCCCTGCAATGTTAAGCATTTTGAACACAGACATTTGAACTTTGTAAAGTTCTAACTAAAGCGTTGATTCTTTCTCAAAAAAAAAAGTTATGATTTAGGCAATGACTGACCTTATTCATTCACAATGTATAGGCACATTAACAAATATTGCACAAAATATGCCTCTAACTGAAACTCAAGAGATATAAAAACACATTACACTCTTCTTAAAGAACTCTGTGAGGAAGTAAGACTCTATGATTGCATGTACACTTTTCCTGATAATACTCTGACATTCATAAACAGTAGATTGCACTGCAGTTTGTAAACATTTTAAATTGCATAAACTTCTCATTGATTTTCGAATATAGTTTAATACTGCCTACTAACACTCCTTTTTGTTTCAGCTAAGTACTCTCAAATTTACTTGTTTATGATAATGTTTATTATCTTTAAAGTGTTCTCCATTCAAGGAAAACAAGTAAAATCCTATGCTGAAGTAGCCAATGTGTCTGAAGACAAGACACTAGCCAGAGAATTCTGGATGGTAAAAGCAATCTTCCAGCCTCAAAGCATCTTCATGGACATGGAAGAATGCCAGCTCTCACACAGCTTTCCTTTGCCGGAACTCATTCCTGACTAGAGAGAGCCTATAAGCCGGCTTCAGGGGCATTTAAATGCTTTAAGGAATCTTTATGATTTTTACTAAATACATTAAGAAGAATGTCAACCAGTGTCCTTTTCTGACCTGAAACAGGCAGTCACCTAATTAAAATAGATAACATGAACTCTGACTTTAGAATGTATTATAAACCGTAAGCAAGGGAAGGTTTTCTTGTCTCATCTCAATGATGGGAGCCTTTCATTCCTCAAAAAGAATCCATTTTTAGGTCACCAATAAAGAAATGACAACCAACTGCCACAGCACATGATGCGCTATCTTCACTGGCCCAGAGCTCATAGACCCTAACGGAGCTCCCATAGGGCAGCACTCATTTCGTGGGCAGCTGAGACAGAAGAACCCAGCCCGTTCTGCACATACTGCTGGGGCAGGTCGCTTTCCTCTTTTCTGAGAAGAACTTCCCCAGTGTGTTACTGCTCCCACCCCAAAATACACAGAAAATAGAGAAACGGTTATTTCCACTTTAACGAATTTAAATATTGGTACTCATGATGGCATACTAGAAAGGAACAGAGCAAACAATGCATATTTGGGAGCAAATCACATATTGAACCAGTTAAGAGCTCACTGTGATTAGGATTAGATCAAACAAAAGAGCAAAACATAAGCAAGTTTTATCTGGATTGTAATGAATATACATGTTGTGTAACATTAGAAAAGCATGGCGGCCCATTCCAAACCAGTGAGAATAGTCTGTGCAAATAGTGGGTCTTTGTGTGTTTGAACTCCCACCATGTACGGGCAAACTCAATATGCATGCTAATGACCTACAATTACCAAATTAAAAAAAGAAGAAAAATGCTAAAAGATGCCAGAGTGAACAGCAGGGAAAGCCACACAAAGACCCACTATCCTTTAACTTGTTACAAATAAATTTTAACTGTAAATTAGAAACACAAAGAAATAATCACAAGTGGCTCTAACATTCAAACGAAGTTAATGAATTGTGTAGGAGATATTTGATCAGGGCTGCCTGCCCTGCCTCCACGCTAGAGTCAAACTTGGATAGTGGGTCTCTGGGGTGCTTTCACACTGGAAGACAACATTGGGTCCTATAAAAAGAAAAATGAGGAATAAAATGAACATAAAGCAAATTAAGTGGGTGAGAAAAATTTTGACTAGTAACATGCATCATCAACTAAACAAATTTGAACTATTAAAATTCTCAAACTTTAAAAAACATCCTAATTACATCGTAAAATGAAAATAATAATTATAAAGGCCCAAGAAACACAAATGGTAATCTAAAATTTAACCAATTTTCACTGACAATATACTCCTGGCTGTGCTTCCTTTAGAACAGCTTTTATCTGTTCTTTACATTCCTGACTATCTAAGACTTAACTGGAAAACCATGTTCCACCACTGGAAAACAAGATAAACAACAACAATGTAGCTGGAGAACCACCACTTTGCATCCTAGGCTCCATAAAAGCCAGATGTCCTGGAGTACGGGATGACTCCAAGAATCACTAACCAAAGAGCTTCCGGTCCCGGTCCCAATGAAAAGCAGCATCCCCTCGTGGGGCCAGGGAAGGCCCTCAGCAATGTCTGACTGATTAGATTAACTGGCTCTAGCACCAAAAGCTGCCAGACCATCCGCAGAGCTTAAAACCGGTCATTCATTTAGGTGGCCCGAATTTTTTGGGAATGTTCAAATCATAAAAAACTCAGCTGTTCCCATATCCAAATTGGGAAATTTAGTTGCTTTATCTAAATAAAAATCTTCTCCCAGGATCAAAGCTATCTTTAGAAATATAAGCCCTAAAGTGAAAACAGCGCGCTAACATTTCAAAATTATGGATATAGTATAAATTCTTAATACTTGCACTGAATTACAATTATCTCGGCTTTGACTGAGCTACCATTTATATGTTCGCAGAAACTAAATTAAAATGAAAGGCTAAATACTTTAGATAACTTCACAAGAATGATAAAAATATAAATCATGATATATCTTGTAAAAAAAAAAACAAAAAATCAAAAGGGTGGGAAAAAGTGACATTTTGTAAAGGTAAAGTACTTCCAAGTGCTGTTTATTCTCTATTATTAAAGCATGTTTATTGCCAAATGTTAGTAAGACCAAGTAACTATGAAGAGATAGTTTTATATAACACCAAATTTCACACTGAGATCTGGATCCTTGTTCTAAAAATAGTGAAAGAGATCTTGATTCATGTATCTCTTAGGGCATCAGGTACCTTTTTAAGAAAATCACCTAATAGAGTTTTGCAAATAGTTTAAACCAGTTTTTAATTTTCTTCTAATCTGGATCATGTGTAAATATGTGGGTAATAAATTAGAAGGCTGCAAAATTAACAGCACCTGTACATTAAAAGGGGAATCTGAATAGGTGAGCACAGCAATCACTGGCTACTCATTATTAAGCAGGAAAAGAGAATTAGAGGCTAAAAAACGATGGTGGTAATGGGAAGCTGAAGCACGGACTGCCTATACCTAAGAACCCGTTAAAGAGTTATACATTCTTTTCAGATGAAGCCTAATAGTAAGGTCTAAAGTTAAGAAAAAAGTATCTAAAAGAAAGTAGTATAAATTTCGATTTTGTGAAAAGTTCCCTTTTGGATTTTATTGCTTTGATCCCTAATACACACTTGCTAAGAGTGCTGAATTTAAGATATACTCCGGGACAGAAGGAGTGCAGGGCTGTCTATTAAAGCTTTTGCACTAGTTGAGAGGCAAATAGTTTGATATTACTCACACTGTTGACTTGGATCGGAGTCTGTTGTCATCTTAACATAGTTTGAAGGAAAGAGACCAGTCACTCCGTTGATTTCTCCTTGCCACCAGTCGGGATCATCTTTGTTCAAAACATTGATAAGTTGTCCCTTGGAGAAATTCAGCTCATCCTCGTTATTTGCTACATAGTCATACATAGCAATCACTTGACATACTACCAGAAAAATAACAAAATAATAAAGTAAATTATTAATACAAAGATCACATGTTATAACTTCCCCAGAACTTAAATTACTCTACTATTAAATGTTAAAATTAGGGTAAAATTTCCCTTGAGCTGCTCTGTCTCACCCTCCTTCCTCCATTCCCCATTTAATAAAACAAGAATTTCTGAACTAAAGTTAATCCAAGTGAACTGTTTCACTTTAAATAGTTACCTTTTTTTGGAGAGAGTGAGAAAGAGAGAGTGAGTGCAAGTGGGGGAGTGGTAGAGGGAGAGGGAATCCCAAGCAGGCTCCTTGCCTAGCCCGGAGCCTGACACAAGGCTTCATCTCACAACCGTGACATCATGACCTGAGCTGAAATCAAGAGTTGAACACTTAACCAACTGAGCCACCCCCGTACCCTAACTGCTTCACTTTAAATAAGTATGATAGCATAGCAATTCCACTTTGAAAAATTTCAAGGAATGAAGTGGATCAAGTATCACTTAAACAGTTGGTTATTTCTATATAGATCTTTTTAAAAAGGAAGTTCTCATTGTAACATTACTTTCAGGCAGAGTTACGAAAAGAACCAATTTTTAATATTTTTCAAAGCACATCCTAATCTAAGAAGTTGCTGAGTTTCAACAAAACTTCTGTAAGATGAAATACAAGTTAATCCACTTTCATACCAGGATGGAAGGCAGGTGTAGTTCTATCACTACTTGGACCCAAAAGCTTAACATGGCTGGCAGGAAACCATCCTTTCTGTCGCTTTTTCCCTCTGGCCTGTAAAATTAGCAAAAGGAATATGAAAGATGGTATTAAAAATAATTACTGAGAGATAAACTAAAAATGGCTGTGCAGTAAAAATGGCTGTCCCTGTCCCAAGGGAGGTCCAGACTCTACCTTTGGCTCCTGGGAGGTAATCTCTAAACCTCTGGTATGTCCTGACTGGTAAGTGTCTTATTTTCTCTGGGGTCTTGACCATGCCAGACAGTCTAACAATGTGACTTATGGTGGGGCTCTGGGTCATACAATATGAACTCAGCTTCCAAGGGGACTGGAGACTAAGTTTAGCCCTAAGGGCAGAACCATGTCTATGATGTAAAAACTCTGGACACCAAGGCTCAAATGAGCTTCTGTGCTTGGCTACACTCAGTGCTTATTGTTGCCAGGAGTTAATGCTGTCCATGACTCCACTGGGAGAGGACAATGAAATCTCTGTTTCTGGAGCCCTCCTGAACTCAGTCCCATACATCTCTTTCCTTGTCTAAGTATAATCTAAATTATTTTGCTGTAATAAACTGTAACTATGAGAAGAATAGTTTTCAGTGTCTCATGAGTCTTTCTAGTTAATTACTGAACTTGAGAGTGGTCTCTGGGACCTCCAAACTTAGAGCTGGTGTCAGAAGTTAGGGTGGTCTCGGGGATCCCGGAATTCTGCACTGGCCTTCCAGGTCTGTCTTCAACAACTGGAAGGCTCAATATACCTATCAAAGTGGTGCTGAAAATACTGTCTGCAGAAGTCTGTTAGAGAAGTCTATGAGGAGGTCTTCTGGACTCTGCATACTTCACACAAATAATATTTATAAGCTAAAAAGACTCTTCCAGAGTTCTCCAAGTAATCAAGCCAACACTTAAAATGGTACTGTGCCCTGTGCACCATGAACACCTCTACGGGCTCTGTTAATAATAGAGATCACAAATAAACTTTGTGGAAAGCCACATTTGCCATGTTGTTGGGTCAATCTTCAGAGCAAATCAGGAAGGTGGGATTTCAAGGAGTTACTCAAGAAGATACTGAATTGTGAACTTCCAATATTCTTTAGGAAATTGTGTAAGACTGATCTGCAAGAATGAAGCTGTATTTATCCTCCATATTACAAGTGTATATCAAACTTACATAAAAATGTAGCTATTATATCTATCATCATCTTTTAATCTCAAAATGCTTTTTATTTTTAGTGTTTCCAGTAAGGAACTTTTAAGAGAAAAGAACTTTCTGTATCAAAACATATGCAATAACTATATCTGTTAACATTTTAGGAAAACACTAGGGTCATTTATGCCTGCATTACCTTTCCCTGCACTGGTGCTTCAAACATGTAAGACTACAGTGGGGAAAATCCAATAAGTAGCATTTTCTCAGTACACAGCTTGGATCACGATTCTTCTCCTACATAGAGGCTATACACTGCAAGCCTGGGGTTATCCCAGGCAAAGATGATGCTATGCTTTCCTTTAAGACAGTGATCTGTGGTTTATAAAAGCAGATATTGGAAAACAATTATGTCTGTAGAGAAAATTATTCTTCATATCGTTACTTATAATACCAATTCAGCTGTGCTAAAAATGAGCAGGGAAGAAACTAGAGGGAGACATAATACACCAAAATGTAATATTGATTACCTCTAAGTGGTATGATTACAGGTGATCTAAAATTGTTAATTTTATTTTTTAATGAGCATGCATTATTTGTATAATAAAATTGATAAATACTATTTAAAGGTTATTACCTGTAATTCCCCTTGCCACCACCCACTTGAATTTTTCTTTAGGATTAGTATTAACTGCCCAGGTGCAAGGCTAAGTTGTTCAGAACCAGAAGCTGCATATGCTGAAGTTACTTGAGCAATCTCTGAAAAGCAGACAGGCAAGAAACTATGAATTCAAGACTATTAAACACTGTAGTACTTTTTCAATTCCATTATTATACATACCAGGTTTCTTGTTTGATGTTCCAGATTTGCTAGCACTCCCAAAACTCTGTAAGGAAAAAACATACTGTTTTATCATTTTCTAATAATCCAGAAGTAAGAGTACAAAGGTTATTAGGAATTAGATTTCTAATTCCCAGGGTTCTTGTTTCTTTAAGTGAAGGTCTACAAAAACAGCCATTAATTACAAATGGCTGATGCTGGCATCCATGGACTCAACAAGATGAGCTCATTTTCTGTATCTTACCTGAATATCAAACATGAACATGTGGGCCAGATACCTCATTTATCAGGTGAGCATCAATGCCCACCAGATACAATATATCTTAAGGCATTTGTGAGTTTTGCCTCCGCCACCTAGGAGGCAATGTTTTTAATTTTTTTGCCTGTTCCCCCTGATCCTGACATAAGAACAACAACAACAAAAAATCCATTCCCTGGGTGGCAACTATAAGCCCAGTCTGACTTAATAGGACAGGGGCGCCTGGGTGTCTCAGTAGGTTAAGTGTCCAACTTCGGCTCAGGTCATGACCTCACAGCTCATGAGTTCGAGCCCCGCATCAGGCTTTGTGCTGACAGCTCAGAGCCTGGAGCCTGCTTTGGAACCTGTGTCTCCCTCTCTCTCTGCCCCTCCCCGGCTTGTGCTCTGTCTCTCTCAAAAATAAGTAAACACTACACACACACACACACACACACACACACAAGTTGGGCCAACCACCTTTCTTTTCAGGAATCTGAACAAGTAAAGGCAAGGAACAGACAATTTTTTTTTCTGTTAGTGAACCCAATTATAGTGCAAGTATTGAAGTGGAACTGATGGGAGTCACGGCCTAACATTTTCTGGGTACTTATGACATAACAGACAGTGGTCTAAGAATTTCACATATATTTATTCATTCAATTCTCATAACACTCTTAAGTATTGTAATTATCCCTATTTTACAAGAATGAAACTGAGGTACAGAAAGGTAAAATAACTTGTACAAGGTCACCTAGCCTCTAAGTGTTAGCGTCAGAAGTTAACCTACATGGCTGTTATGTATGGTGTGTGGATGGATCCCTGGGGACAGTCCTTGAGCCCCTTCCAAGAGTCCTGATGATAAAGACTTTTTTCATAACAACATTAAGACATCATTTGTCTCTTGTATGTTGTAGACATTTACACCAGAGGGTAAAACTGCTGCTGCCTTAGCATGAATCATGGCAGGAGTGCGAAATTACACTAGCAGTCCTAGTATTGCTCACAGCCATATGCTCACAGGAAAACAAACAAAACGGTTTCACTCAAGAATGTCCTTGATCAGGGGCATCTGGGTGGCTCAGTTGGTTAAGCGTCTGATTTTGGCTTAGGTCATGATCTTGCAGTCTGTGGGTTCGAGCCCCGTGTCAGGCTGTGTGCTGACAGCTCAGAGCCTGGAGCCTGCTTTGGCTTCTGTGTCTCCCTCTCTCTCTGTCCCTCCGCGCTCACGCTGTCTCTCTCTCTCAAAAATAAATAAGCATTAAAAGAATGCCCTTGATCAAGGGGCGCCTGGGTGGCTCAGTTGTTTAAGCGTCGACTTCAGCTCAGGTCATGATCTCCTGGTTGTGTGCTGACAGCTCGGAGCCTGGAGCCTGCTTCAGATTCTGTGTCTCCCTCTCTCTGTCCCTCCCCTGCTCACGCTGTCTCTCAAAAATAACAAACATTAACAAAAAACATTTTTTTAATAATTAAAGAAATATCCTTGATCAAGGAGTAAAAATATGAAATCTTAATGAAATATAATCTTTTAATTTTTTTATTTTACTTTTAAAGTAGGTTCCACATCCAATGTGGAGCTCGAACTCAAGACCCAGAGATCCAAGAGTGGCACGCTCCAGCAATGGAGCCAGCCAGGTGCCCTTAAATACAATCTTTTAAAAATTTCATGTGACTAAACAGAAGCATGCCTGTGGCACTTCTGCTATATACTGAAGTACCAAGACAGCAGTCTCAAGGAGAAGCACTTGTGTGATCACACTGCAAGCTAAACTAGGTTTTCATGGCACATTTTTACTTGAAAGAACTGAATGACAAGCTACTCAGACTTGGGGGTTTAGCAGACATTTTCTCAAAGATAAAGTATTCTTGTCACATCAAGGAAAACCGCTGACGATTTGTTGTCAACGATCAAATTCAAGATTTCAAGAGAAACCTGAAATTTTGAAAAACTTGGATCTACCACCATGAATTTGACAGTTTCAAAGTATTTAAAGATCTTCCTATGAGATCAATGGTGACATTAACAAATGTAACTTTTTGATACTGTATAATGAAATGTGTCAATACTAGGAATATTTGCATAACTCAGTGATTTACTATTTTCTAAATGACCAAAGAATGATGTTATATCATTCATGGGTAAAAGAAAAAAAAAATCCGTCCAATTTTAACAGTAACAAATGTTCACTGATATGTTTAGATTCCATGTGTAACTAACCTGTAACAATTTAACACTCATCAAGTGTTGGTGTGGTAATATCAAAGAATATATACAGATATCTAAAAATGTTATTAAAATATTTCTGTTAGGGCGCCTGGGTGGTGGCTCAGCCAGTTAAGCGTACGACATTAGCTCAGGTCAGGATCTCACGGTTGGTGAGCTTAAGCCCCATGTCGGGCTCTGTGTTGTCAGTGTAGACAGAGCCTACTCAGATCCTCTGGCCCCCTCTCTCCCCACACCCTGCCTCACTGCTCATGCTCTCTCTAAAATAAACATTTTTTTTTTAAATTAAAAAAGTATTTCTGTTTCCTCTCATATCTGTGTGAGGCTGAATTTTCTTTGTATACGTCAACCAAAAGAACATATCACAACAGACCGAAAACAGAAACAGAGGAGAATTTACCCGTCTTCAGGTTAAGCTAGACGTTAAAGAGATCTGTAGAATATAAAACAATGCCCCTCTTTTCACCAAACTTTTTTTTTTTTTTTTTTTTTACAAATAGTTTATTGTCAAATTAGTTTCCACATAACACCCAGTGCTCATCCCCACAAGTGCCCTCCTCCATGCCCATCCCCCCTCCCCCCCACATCCATCAGTCCTCAGTTTTTGTCAGCATTCAAGAGTCTCTCATGGTTTGCCTCTCTCCCTTTCCCCCACCATTTCCGCCCTTCTTCTCCCCCTTGTTCCTCCGTCAAGTTCCTCCTAATCCTCCTATACGTGCAAACATATGATATTTGTCCTTCTCTGCCTGACTTATTTCGCTCAGCATAACACCCTCAAGGTCCATCCATGTTGCTACACATGGCCAGATTTCATTGTTTCTCATTGCCATGTAGTATTCCATGGTATAGATAAACCACATCTTCTTGATCCATTCATCTGTTGATGGACACTTAGGCTCTTTCCATGTTTTAGCTATTGTGGAGAGTGCTGCTATGAACATTGGGGTACCTGTGCTCCTATGCCTCAGCATTTCTGTATCCCTTGGGTAAATTCCTAGCAGTGCTATTGCTGGGTCATAGGGGAGTTCTATTGTTAGTTTCCTGAGGAACCTCCACACTGTTTTCCAGAGGGGCTGTACGAGTTTACATTCCCACCAACAGTGTAGGAGGGGGCCCGTTTCTCCACATCCTCGCCAGCATCTAGAGTTCTCTGATTTGCTCATTTTAGCCACTCTGACTGGCGTGATTCACCAAACTTTTTTGTTTGAAAATATATTGTTGTTTTTCATAAGAAGCAAGTTATTTATATAACCATGTAATGGGTTTAACTTGGTTACTTTAAAATAATATTCTTAAAACCGCAGTTTTAATTTCTAATATGGAAAATATAGCTATATATAACCCATGTATTTAAAAAAGCTTTTTAGAGTCCCCAATTCTTTTTTTTTTAAACGTTTTGAACCTTAATTCTTTTTTATTTTTTTATTTTTTATTTATTTCTAGGAGAGAGAGAGAGAGACAGCATGAGCAGGGGAGGATCAGAGAGAGAGGGAGACACAGACTCTGAAATTGGCTCCAGGCTCTGAGCTGGCAGTCTGCGCAGAGCCCGACGCGGGGCTCGAACCCACGAACCACGAGATCATGACCCAAGTGAAAGTCGGACGCTTAACCGACTAAGCCACCCAGGCGCCCCAGAGTCCCCAATTTTTTAAGAATGTAAAAAGTTCCAGAAACCTAAAGGTTTGAGAACTGTTGCACTGTACTATGCTAGTAGAAGGATGAAAAGCAGCAGGAAGCCATAAGGTAGGGTGAGTCACATTAGTGTCAGGGCCTTAAGGTAAAATTTTACAGACTCCTTCACGGTGATCCCTTGTAAGCTGGGCTGGATCTGGGATCATCCCTAGCTTTAGTTACTGTGAGACCAGCCCTACCTTTGGCTCCTGTTCTTAGAAATTTAATGAAATCCTGTCTCTCTTACCTAATAGGATCCCTATAATAAAGTTGTGCTACCTTAAGTAGTTTCCTTACAACCAAATCCTGATCAAACCCATATATATGAGTCTTTAAGTATGAACCTCAAGACGCAAGATTGGAATAGTTTTGTTTCTATATCAAATAACTCTACCTCTTGATCTTTTGGTTTGACATAATTTGATGGAAAAATTCCAGTTCTATCTCCAATACTTCCTGTCCACCATTCTCCATCCTTCTGGGTCACCAGTATTTCTTCACCTTCAGTGAAAGTCAAATCTCCAGGTTCTACACTTGAATATGGATAAAGTGCAATATACTCTGTTGGAAACAAAGCAAAAGGAAAGTAATTTTGGTTCTAAGAGTATAGAAGGAAAAAAATTATGTTAAACTCCAAATCCTATGTAAATTACTATAAAAGACCTTATAACTTATGGAAACCTAATGTAAAAAGATTTTAAAACAGAAAAAGGAAGGAAGCAATTATTTAAAAATTTCTTAGAAAAAGACTATTTAACATAAGGCTTTACCACAGAGTTTCTTCTTCTTCCAACTGTATCATCATTTTATCACAGAGAATAATCCATAAACACAAATAGATACAAGTGAAGATATGAAAAGCATTTTTCAATTTCCTTACACAAAATGTATTTTAAGATGCTATGTTCTTTCCTCTTTAATTCTTATATAAATACAGTTATGAAAATGCCCAGTATCCAGCTGGCACCGGTACCAGAGGCCAAGCTCCACAGTGACCCAGCTTCTAGCACAGTGCTTGGCAAATAGATGCTCAAAAAACATTGTTAACAAATGGCCTCAAGGAAAGATCTACATGTTAGTTGGCTTTGGTTTCTGTCCCTGTTATTACTACTACTTAGAACAAACAGTCGATGAACTGGTTTTTAGTCTTTCTTTTATCGTTATTTTTATTTGTCAACCTGGAATTTCATCCGTACATCCTAGAGATGACCGGGAACATTAACTACAACCTGTTTCTTGTTCATTCTCAGTGTTACTCAGTTTATGACATTTAACAAAACCAAAAATGCATGCAACATTTAGGTATGCTGTAATAAGCAAGGTCCTTCCCAAAATACTCGTCACGACCATCCCAGGCTCATCCCACAGCACTCACTCTACCGTGAACCTGTTAGTGCAGCCTTGCTGGGGACCTGAGTTCCCTGACCATTCCTAGCCATGCTCCGGCTCACGACTCTCCCTCTATCTACAAGAGCTGTTTCTTCCCTGGTCACTATGCAAAACCCTACTCCTTGCTTAAGATGATTCAATACTGCCATGTCCGTGGGTCTTTATATCTTATTTAAAACAAAGTTGTGTTCACTCACTACAGAATTTACTACAATGGTGTGCCTCTCCTCCCCAGTCTCCTGTGAGGACTTGGGGGACTGTGTTTTATTCATTCTGTATCTTTCAGGCTCTAGCATAAAACCTTTCACACAGTAGAACCTGAATAAGTGGTTTAATTTACCATTAAGCTGCTTTTCTTGAACAATAATATAAACATAAAATTATTCCACTGAAACTAATTTTACGACACTATTTATAAAGCTATGTAACTGTTAAATAAAAATGCCTGAAATGAGGGTAGACAATCTTTCATTTTCTAGTGCTTCGAAATAAAAAATAAGTTATTAGTCAAACAACCTAAAGAGCCCACAAAATTTTTTTTGTAATAATTATGATAAAGTATAGCTTGATATCAAATCCTACTTAATGATATATAGATCCACTGTAATTAAAATGCAATTTGTAAACAACTAGATGTACTAAAATTGCCTTATATCCTAAATATCTATAACACAGATATATTATAAGAAAATAAAAACCTTCATGCTATCTCATTGCAACATTTTATTTATGATCTTATTTACCGAGTTTATGTTGAATGTTTATATACTGATTTTCTAAAAATGCCCTATTTTTTTTCTATATTCTCAATATTCATGTGACATAAACAAAGGACAGGTTTTTCTAAACTCACTTTAACACTGAAGACACAGAAACAGTGAGCCTAACAACTGAAGGAAGTCAGATAATTAGTCAATAGCTAATCTAACTCTCATAGAATTTACAAATTGCCAAAAGCTCACCCTCTCCAACTGCGTAGGCTGCAGAGGTAGGTTTCTTGTTTATAGCTGCATACAAAGCTTCTGGTCTGCCAAATAAATACACAAACAGATAAGAAGAAACAACAAGGAAACAAAAAGCTATCAACAAGCAAAACCAAGTAAGGTGACACAGCAGGTGTTTGGAGTACATTCCTTTAGGACTTTCTAAGATGAATTTAAATACTGTCTCAGTAAAAAGGCTAGAAATATTCTCATACAAAAAATTGTAGGGGACTAAGAATGGCCTAGTTACAGACTTCTAAATTTTTTTTAATATATTAAAGTACTTTCAACATGGCTTATTGAGATATTTTGCCTTTCTAAAGGAATGTAAAAGTCACCAGTGTTTTGGTAAAGGGACAGTTATTTGGTAAAGCACAGAGGGAGCTTGGCTTCATACAGGGAGAAGAAGGACAGTATGTAAATCTTAGTATTTGTTTAGAGCACACTATTTGAATATAGAAAATCAACAGAACATTATCTTTTATATTTCAGAACAGGTAAAGCTTTAATTTCCAATTTAACCCAGGAAATGGAAAAAATCTGGAAGACTGTCATATTTAAGAACTAGACATCTATCTGTAGGATGCACCCAGGCTTCCCGAGAGCCTTGAGGAAATGATACAGTAAGTCAGTTCTCAGGATGGACCCTTACTATAACTCATACCCACAACTGAACACACCACCACCTTGTGTAGGGTATGATCTCTCCATTTCTGCAGGTTTTCAAATTACATGCCTTATGTGTTAGAAAAGATCAATAATTAAACAAGTTGGGGGGAAGGACATTTAAACTTACTGCCTTTACGCTGTAAGTTTCCTTCTTTGTAAAATGTTATGGCACTTAAGATAATCCCTGTAAGGGCCCAGCACAGTGCCAACATACACCTATCAGCTCTGAACTATTATCACTTACATGCTTCTAAATCTAAAATTCTGTGTCATGCAGAAGAGTACATTTCTGCACTGGAACTAAAAATTCATACACAGAATCTCAGCACTGAAAATGTTTTTAAAGATTAATTTACTCTTTTTATCCCATCAATTGGGAAACTGAAGGAAAATAGGTTATTCCACATAGCCTGACAAAAATAACAGAATCAGAACTCAAGCCTCTTGATTTCCAAAGACCTGTCTCTTTTCATTCACTCAGATCACTTGTCTATTTGGGTCAATTTCAGTATAAAACACAGGGAGGTAGCTGCCCATCGTTACTTTTGTACTTACTTCTTAAACACCTTAAAGATGTCTGGAGATTGCACTCCTCTACAGACTGGGAAATAAAGGCCAAAGGCCTTATTTAGTTTTTACTTGTTATTCATTTGAAAATGGACTGCTCTGATTGTTCATTCACTGAATCCTCTCCTTATTCACTAAACTACTATGACTGAGAAGTTACTATGCATTAAGATTATACCAGGCAGGAAAAAAAACTGAAAAATAAAAAAAGGCATGGATCCTGCCCTCCTAGACCTTATGATCTAGGTAAGACAATAAAGAACTATAACCCAGTCTGTTATGTACAGGAAGACAGAGGTCTGATCTTCAAGGAATTCCTGAGGCCCAGAAATGATGCCCTACACTTTGGCAATGGGGGCGTCATCAGCAAAGATTTATTTTAATAGTGACAATGCACAGTAAACAACAAAGGAGAAGTGTTCCAAAGGCAATGAAAAGTAACTCTCTAGCTGACCTGATGACACAAAGAAACCAACAGATCTAAAATGTTAAGCACTTTGAAGACTTTAGGCATCTGAAATAACTAGAATAAAAGATATTCTAAAACCAGTACAAATATGTGAAGTACACTTTTTTTTTTCCCCCACTCTGGGAATCCCCCTGCATAAATGTTTTACTTTATGGTACAGCCAGTTGTTCTTTGGCTGGTTCATTAGTGAAAACACCAACATCCACATCTCACATAAACACAAAATGCTTACTCTTCCCGCCTGACTTCACTCCCAGGGAGGATTTTGACGTAAGATTTTGGAAACCATCCTCTTCCTCCATGCACCTCCCCAAACCACCAATTTTCTTGCTGTTCCAAGACAGTAATAATATCATGTTTTGAAAAGTTCAAGTGGTTATCTTTCTTTGCAGTCCAAGAACAAAGGGCCTGCGCCTTTAGGTTTTCTACAACTTGCCCCTGTGAATACAAAACCACAAAATTAAAAAAAAAAAAAAGGCAACCACGATTTTTGTTTCCTACTATATAACTTGCTTACTGTTCAGAAACCAGTTTGGTATGGTGGTGCCTTAAGATAACTTTTATCTACCGCATGATTTACAATTATATAGGACAGACAACCATTTAAGTAGCCTTCTGTTAAAAAAGTTTTTCCCCTATCACTGAACAGTGCTGACGTCATTAACACCTTTGCCCTTCCAGAAGCGCTCCTTATGTCTATTTCTTTTCTAATCTACCTTAATTGTAACTTTATCTCCTGGGCTCCAGACCTGTAAGTCAGACTACTCATTGGGCCTTCGCACCCAGTTGTCTCTAAACCAGATACCTAAGTTGCACACGTGAGGCATCATTTTTAGAGCCCACAGAACCCATTCCTCTAGCAATGCTCACCCAAGACGCCATCATCATCCTTCTAGTTACTCTTAAGGACCTTGAAGAGGCTTCTGTAACTCCAACTTCTCCCTTACTCTCGACATTTCAGTGGATTGCCAATTTTATGTCAATTCCTCACACTCTTTTAAATCCATCTCCTCTTCTATACGTTTTCTGCACTGTGGCACTGGTTTACCTCAGCATCTCTCGGAATTAGCTACCGTGGCATCCTTCCTTGCTTGGTCTCCTTCCTTTCCTTGCTTCCACCAATCGGCCCCTGTACTACTGCTGAGTTAAGCTGGTACAATATATACACCTCTTGGAAACCTTCAGGGGCTGCCCACTGCCAAACTGCTAGGCATGGTATTAAACACTTCACAAATGAACCTCAACCTCTAGCTTTACTTCTTGACCCTTTCTCCAAGAATCCTGTACTCTAGCCACACTATAAATAATTCTTGCCCTGGAAACTCTTTGTGTTACCATACTTCACTGACTTTCCCCAAATCATTTTTTTCACAGGAATAACTTTCCTTCTCTGTTTGCTAAAATCCTGCCTATCTTCAAAGGTCCTGCTCAAATACCTGGCCTTTTGTGAACCCTGTTCCAATTCTCACAGAGTGAATGAGATCTCTCTCAGCTGTATACTCCTCAAGATTTTGTGGAATATCTTTATTACCTTCACATACTTCAAAATTATTTATTTCTATGTCTGTCTCATTAGATTATGGCTTCTTAATGGCAGGGATTTTTTTTTTCCATTAAATTTCTAGCACATAAAGAACCTATGGCCATGCAATAAACAGTTTTCTGAGTGAAGGTGAAATTTGTAGGACTCTGTTTTGACAAAGTCTGTGGTTTCCTTTCAGTAATATTAATGTAACAATGCCTGCAATGGTTATATATAAAGCAGAGGCTAAACATATATAACACAGTTCCCACACAAATGACTTTCTTACGAATAAAAACCCCAAAACCACCAAGCCCAAATATCTTCTTACAGTAACTACAAATTAAGAATAACATAGCCAGATTTATAAAGATGACATCTTGAGCTTAGAAACCCTTGCTGTTAGCAAGTGGATGCTATGCAAATTAATTGTTGAGAAACTTCTAGGTAATAAAAATAATTTCTTTATATCACATCACACGTGAACGACAAGAACAGAAATCAAATACTATAAACTCTGGTTAAATGAGTAAATGATGCCTCTGTACAAAAGTTTTCTTTCTAATTTATATGAACAGGAACAATGTCAAAGAATAAAGCAGAGAAAAATTAAAGATACACACCTGTCCATGAATCGGTGATATAGATCCAGGGGACACAGTACGAGTAAAAGCTGATTTTTTCTGCCATGATGTATTAACAGTTAGGTTTGTAAAAGATACATTTTGATAATCAGTCACTGACGCTGGTTGATTTGAAGAAAGTGATCTGTAAGTACAACACTTTGATGTAAATACATTTAATCATTTAAAATCTAGTGAAGTATTAAAAATTTATCAACTTATACATAATTCACATTGTGTTTAAACACAATTTTGGAAAAAAGGATTCATGAACAAAGTACTGACTTACATTTTAATTTATTAAATTTCAGTATGAAATCTGGAACAAAAGGTACTCTTGGAGAGTCCAGCACAGATTATAATATGATTAAGTAGCAGGCTGACACAAATACATTGGCAGAACTAAATACACTGCACTATTAGCTAAAAACTTACTCAGAAGAAGTTGAGGTAGCAGATACTGATACTGTAGGGGGAAGTAAGGCCTTCTTAGGAGACACAGATTTTTCACCTGATGGCATTTTTTCTACATAGTTGCAAGGAAACCAGCCAAAATTTCCTTGAAAACTACCATAAAGCCAACCAGGTTCTCCTACCGTTTTTTCATCAACCTATGGAAACAAAAAGAAGGGTTAACAATGGTTAGAATGTCACACATTTGCAAAGGAAAGAGATGCAGACTATTGTACAATGGCCTCATTTTCAAAATTAAGCCCATGTAACTAAAGAGTTGAGGCATTTTCTTTTCTTTTTTGGAGAAAGGGCGCAAGTGAGGATGGGGCAAAGAGGAAGAGAATTCCACAAAGGGCAAACAGAGAAAGAGAGAGAGTGGGGTTCACCCAGGGCTTATGTTTTTACCCAAAGCGGGGCTCAAGCTCAATCGATGTGGGACTTGAACTCACAAACTGTGAGATTACCTGAGCTGAAGTCAGATGCTTAACAACTAAGCTATCCAGGTGCCCTAAGCTGAGGCATTTTCTACAAATTAACAGTCACTATCACTAATGAAAGACAAAGGCACCTTTTAGAAAAAATGTTCATTTATTTATATTGAGAGAAAGAAAGTTCATGAGCAGGGGAGCAGCAAAGAGAGCGTGAGAGAGAATCCCAAGCAGGCGAGCTGTCAGTGCAGAGCCCAACATGGGGTTCAATCTCCTGAACTGTGAGATTATGACCTGAGCTGAAATCAAGAGTCAGATAGATGCTCAATCAACTGAGTCACCCAGGCGCCTGTAAAAATGAAATTTTAAAAAGGCACCTTGACTCTTGATTTTGGCTCAGATCATGATCTCACAGTTAGTGAGATGGAGCCCTGCATCTGGCTCTTTGCTGGGGAGGGAGTCTGCTTGGGATTCACTCTCTCCCTCTCCCTCTGTCCTCCCCAACCTGTGCCTGTTGTGTGCTCTCTTTCTCTCTCTCTCTCAAAAAAAAAAAATATTGATTTCATCCAAGTTAAATACACAAAAACAGATTACAAAAACAAACAGCATTCTATATGGCTTATGATGGACAATTCCATCACTCATTATGCCCTGATTTCCTCTTCTGATAGTAACTTGCCATTCTTAGTTGTTTCTTCTATGTTCCCTTTCTTTCTTTTTTTTTTTTAAGTAGGCTTCACACCCAGCATGGAGCCCAATGCAGGGGCTTGAACTCGTAACCCTGAGATCAAGTCAGATGCTTAACGCCCAGACACCCCCATCTTCTATATTTCTAAATCATGTATTTATACTATTATTTCTTGAATGTTTCAATTTTAGACGTGATCTATTGGCTTTCTGTTATAGAAAAATCAACATTTAACTCTATTTTACTGCATCTTCTTATTCTATCAGCACTGCTATTTCAAATTTTTTGGTTTAATTATATTTAATGTTTATATTATGGCTATGTAAATAAATACTTCACATCTAAATCACATACTGTTCTGATAATTACATTTCCTTTCTTGCAAACCTGTTATTTTCCTATAGTTAATCATTAATTTTTGTTTTGATTAGTTTTTTCTGTTCTTATCAGTCTTCTTAAGCTCTCTAAGAGAAATAGAAAACTTTCTCTAAATACTGTTTTTCAACTGGTAACACATATAGGTGATTTGTAGTTTCATCTCTTCTCCCTTTTACTGCTGAGTAATATTACATTGTATAGATGTAACACAATTTGTTTATATGTTTGCCTGCTGATGGACATTTGAGTTGTTTCCTGTTTTTGGCTGTGATAAAACTGTGAACATTTGTCTTTGTATATTGATCTTATATCCTGCAACCTTGCTAAACTCACTCATTAGTTCTATCACAGCTATGTAATAACTATATAATGGTGTTCTAAAACATAACAAAAGGAACCACTGATAAAATATCTTGTAAATCTAGTTTAAGGCTAAGTTTAAAATAGCTAAGCCACAGCACTAAAAATGAAGAAAACAATAGACCTCAAGGAATTATTCAACATAAAGCAGAATGCTCAACAATATACCTAATTTAAATGCTGGTCTCAAGGCAAGGATCACTGACAGGTATGAATACTGGCATTCAAACACTAGCTTCCTTCTTTACCTACAAACTTTTTCTTTAAACTTTCTACCTTTTCAAGAAAAGGTCCATTCATTTAATCTTTAAAATCAGACCAAGTGTGCTTTTGTAACGGGTTAATTTTAATAAATTTCTTATCTATAATTTATGGCCCTAATTTTTAGCTGTCAATTTATACACAAAGTTAAACTAAAAATTTTACATAAGTTCTCACAGGTTTATGGAAACTATTGTCTCAAAAACAGCATTAACATATAAGAATGCTAGTAAAACAGGCTGTCATGGAAAATGCTGTCAGGACTCAGTGGAATTTCTAATCTTTTTCACTTTCAATCAAATCTCTTCTGCCACCCTCATCCATTAAGTTGATTAGATCTTGCCTCCTATCTTACCAAGAATAGGGAAGCCATCAGAGCTGAGCTCACTTTCGAATTCAGCAAAATGTATTTATAGTTCCATCTATCCTTTCCTTCAACCCTCTAATCAAAAAGGAAGGGTAATCTAGTCCTCCCACTACTCTCTCCTCCTATGCTCTAGATCCCAAGCCCTCCAGCCTTATTGAGAATAATCTTCATCTGTATTCACTGGTCAGAACAGAGAGGCCTGCCAGGGAGCTGTGAAGTGCCCTCTCGAGTGTTCTGTATGTTGATCTGAGTGGTAGTTTCACAGATATATACGTGTGTACAAGTTATCTGAGCTGCATACCAATAGTTGTGCACTTTACTAAATCCAGTATTAACCCGTTCCCTCTCTGCAGATCCTACCATTATTTAAACTTGTAACTAAACAAACTTGCTCAAGCCAAGTTAAAAAAAACAAAACAAAAAATGAAACATGGGACAACTTCCTTCAACTCACACTCATTACTTATCGTTTTCTCTGCCTTCCCACTTTCAAAAGCTAAGCTCCTTCAAAGAATTTTATATATTCACTGTCTCCTCTTCCTCCCTTCCAATGTGTTCAGGTCACTGAAATCTGGCCTCTTCCCCCACCACTCTAATCAACTGTTTTCCTCAAGGTTAACAATAGCTGTGACACTGCTAATCTCGTGGTTGTTTTTTTAGTCCTCCCTTATTTCACATGCAGACCACTCTTCTCAAAGTTCCCTGACACTAAACTCTCCTGGCTTTTTCCTAACCCTGGTCGTTTCTTTTTAAGTCTCCTCTTCCTCTAATAATCCATTTTGTGTTCATCTCTCTCAGAGATCACTTTGTCACTCATCCACTACACTCAAGGCAATTACCATCACAACACAATGATGACAAATGTCAGATGGCCTCCTCTGATCTCTGCCTGAGATCTCTCTAAACATCTCTGGATACTCAACTGCTGTCTAGAAATCTGAAAGTCATCCAAAATTAAACTCATTGTAATTCTGACTTACATTCCCTTCTTTTGATCTTCCTCTCTCAGTGAATAACACAGTCATCAACCAAGCTGTCCAAATCAGGTATCTGGTGGTAACTCATGAGTCATTATTTATATCAGTGATTTGGCAGAGAACACAAACACTCAAGAAACTCCAGCTAACTCAATGTTCCTGATGTCACTGCCATCAGACTGGCTTGATAACCACAGGGGAGGTCTGCTCTAAAGCTAGTATCTTTCTACTACCTTTCTTCCTCTACTGCTTTAGAATGTTCTTCTCATCAGAATACCAGCTCATGAAGTGCAGAGACTGTGTCTTGTTTACAATATCCCTAGCACAGTCCTCAACAAACATTTGTTAATGGAATAAATAAAAGATATAGCCAAAAGTATAAGTAGGTTCTCGACCAAACATGTCCAGAGACAGGCTGCTCTCTTCATTCTTAGACACAACTTCATCATCACCCACAGGTGGAGGAGGAACAGGAGGGCCAGCAGGCTGTGGCATTGTCAGAGGTGGCGGTGGTAACAGAAGGAATGTGTAGCTGGGGAATAACCTGAGTGTCTGAACAGAGGTTTCTGGTAAAACCTATGCCAAGTACCACCCAATATTTGCTATATAACTGATAAAATACACCAAACTGGTGACCATGCAGGCTAAAAAGAAAATAGACACTGGCTAGGTATTCAAGGTAATATGACTTTAATTTACTAAAAAGAAAACTGACAGAGAGATGAAAATCCAGGTTAGTATGCTTCAAAGCCTGTATTCTTTCCATTGTATCACAATAGCTGTATCAAATGTTATTCCCTGCATCTTCTCTTACCCATCCGTTTTACATGGTTTGTGCTATATGATAAAGGCCTTTAGTTTCAAGGAACAAGGGATTGCATCTAGTTAGGGCAATAGAGTCTACCTCCTTCAATTCTTTTAATGGTTGCCAGAAAATAACCAGTGCCCCCAAATTTCATTGGTAATTTATTAAAATAACACAATCAGCATGACTTTTTAAAAATGTTTATTTATTTTTGAGACAGAGAGAGAGAGAGAGAGAGAGAGAGAGAGAGTCAGACAGAGACAGCAAAAGTGGGGGATGGGCAGAGAGAGGGAGACACAGAATCCGAAGCAGGTTCCAGGCTCTGAGCTGTCAGCACAGAGGCCGATGCAGGGCTTGAATTCAAGAGCTGTGAGATCATAACCTGAGCTGAAGTCAGACGCCTAACCGACTGATCCACCCAGGCCCATCAGCATCACCTTTTATGCTGTGAAGCAGTATAGGGCAGCGTAAAGAACACTGGATATAGAAATCAAAGACATGTACTTGAGACCTACCCTGGCACTGTCCTGCTGTTACATTTTGTGTAAGTATAAGCTTCCTTACCTAAAATTCAGCAGTAATAATATGCAAATCTGCAGTATGTTGTTGGGACAAATCAGGTAAAGCTTAAGATACACTTTTTAAATGGTAAATCACTACACAAAATTATAGTCATTATTATTAGAGAGAGTAATACATTACATTGTATTAAGCTTCTTCATTAGCAAAAAAGACTGTTTCCTACCTGTATTATATCCCCGGAATTAAAACTCATCTCATCATGGCTTCTGGCTTCAAAGCGATACAATGCTCTATAATTCACCAAAGCAGTAGCTGGCTCACCTAAAGAGAAGATAACTGTCATTATTTGCTACTTTCACATACACACATCTTTGTGATGACTCAATATAAAGAGCTCATAAAATGAAAAAGAAAAAAAATGAACATCAAACAATAAAATGAAAATCCATTTGACACAGGCTTGTTACTATTTAAATATGTTGAATGGCCACAGAATCAATATAAAAGCAAACAAGGATGTTCATCTTTAGGAGTACTAGTAGGAAGCAATGATACAAAGACAGGCCTTGTGGGGGGGCATGAACAAGGATGTAATGGAAGGCAGGCTAGGTACTGCAAAGTGCAGGGCGCTAAGCAGCGAAGTTTGATCTGTGGCAGCCAGGATACCACAGGGAAGAGACAAAAAGAGAGGTCACAAATGAGGGGACTGGCATCAAACAGGGTTCAGTGAAGAAAGAGCTCTAGATGCACTAGTATGGTTCTAAAAGAAAAACAGAAGAGCTCACAAATACACTAGTCTTGATAAGAATAAAACTATTTTACTTTGTTCATTTGCAGAATAAATGCTTTAGCTTGTAGAAATTTCAACACATGTGCCAATAATAAGGATTCAAATATTTGTCCAAAAGAGATACAATAATATTTAAAGTATTTTAGGAATGGACTCTGAGGTGTGCATCAAAAACAAATTTGAGAAAATTTCAGTGTGCAAAGATTTAAAATTTTATTGTTGTTTCATTAAAATCAAGTTTATAGTTAACACCAGTTGACTAAACTATTTACAACTGTTCACTTCAATTATGAAAATGTCAGAGTATGTTAATAGCCAGTGATGACTATCTTTTCTACATGTTGCTTTAAGACTTCTACCCTCAGTTTGTTTTAATAAGTCTACACACTCCTCCAAGTTTAATTGAGAAAAAGGTTTTTTCAGACTCAAAGGTTACATCCGTTTATATATATTTTTTCCTCTCATTAGAATCTTTTTTTCTTGTTGCTTTTGTTGCTCTGTCTCTGAAAAACCGAATCTATCATTTTTATCCTTACCCTTACATTGTTTCTCCTCAGCTTTCCGCTCCTCTTCTTGAACTTTTTCTTGGGCTTTCTCTTCCTGGAGTCGCTTTTGCTTTTCTTCTTCCTCTTTTCTAAGATTTTCTCTCCATAAGTTTTCTTTTCCTTGCTTTGCTTTCCTTTACATAAAAAAAGAGAATTTGGGGCATCTGGGTGGCTCAGTCGGTTAAGGGTCCAACTTTGGCTCAGGTCATGATCTCGCGGTTTGTGAATTCGAGCCCCACATCGGGCTCTGTGCTGACAGCTCAGAGCCTGAAGCCTGCTTCGGATTATGTGTCTCGCTCTCTCTCCCCCACCCCTGCTCGTGCTCCCTTGTGCCTCTCTCTCTCCAGAAAAAAAAAATCATTAAAAAAATAATAAAAAAAGAAAGAATTTGTATGTCTTAAAATTTTTGTTATGCAAAAATATTAGATCTTGTTCCTGACAAACTGTAGAAATAATACATATTTCTTATGCATTTATATGTAATCTTATGAAATTATATATTTATCACATAGTAAAGAGATATTCGTAGGTGGTGTGGAGAAAAAGTGAGGATCATGGATAAAGGGGAGAATTAATTAATTGATGAATCAAGAGAGGATCCTTGGACAAACAGATGAACTGAGGAGTAGGACTGATCATTCCTTCCGGTCAGCCAAGCTCCCAATCCCAAGAAGTGGAACTATTCAGAAAACAAATCGAGAAAGTATATCTAAATGACCTTCCTTTCTCTTCAGATTTTTCACAAGGAATGCATTTCAGCTCTTATTCCCACTATTCCAGCTAATCCCTGTTTTCAGGAGTCAGTTATTGCTGTGGAAACTGGAAATGCTTCTTGGCAGATGACCACATTCTATATTATCACTTTAAAGTCTTTTTCATTATTAGGCAATAGGGCATGTTTCCTCTATAGGTCCATGCTTCCCATGTTTCTATAACATCTGATATGGCTGCAGCTTGTTTCCTAGCTGGGCATGGTGATCTGTTATCAGACATAGCTATTATAGTATTAAAACTTTACCACAGTTCTCCCTTGCACATATTTTTTATGGTCTTACTTAGAGGCAGAACTATCACCACTAAACTTAGCACCTGCTCCAAGCCTCTGTTCACACTATCTGGGGGATGGAGCTTCTGGCTGGGTACATCCTGAGAGTTGGGAGTATTTATGCCCCAAGGTACACATCTTGGCTTAATTCCATGTCTCTTTTGCTATAATTCCTGGAAGATTTGGAAATTCTATATAATTCCCCAAACTGGAGATCCACTTGGTCAGCAACCCTTCTTCCTCATTCCTGACTGTCTTCTACTTCATACTCCTGGTTCATTATCCCATGACTAGCTTCCTCTTGACTCTTTGCAAATCCTACACCCTCTCTCACTCCAAAGAGTGCTTCCTCCAGCACTTTCTATAACTTATATCCAGCTCTCCTTTGAGGGTCATGCTTCTCTGGGGTCCCTTCTTAATTTCAACTACCACTCCTTTTCACAGTTAGTTCCTCTGCAATCTTCTCTGACACTTTTCCACACCTAAGATGACCCAATCTAGCCCTTATTTGAATTCCCAGAGCATTATAAACACCACTATCAGAGTATTTACCACATGTTTCCTGGGATAAAGCAAAGACTAGAGTTAAGAGAATATAAAATTAAATTCTGGAAAACTTTCTTATATATGTGTTAGTGGATGAGAAACTGGTCCAGAGCCAAAAGATAGCACAGAAGCTGTACAAAGGGCAGAGACCATATCTACAATGTCAAAACCTGACTATAACCAACAGCATGGGACAAAGGAGGGAACCTTCTTGGGCAAATGGCCAAGAGGTCAAGTTGTAGTTGTTAAGACCCAGCTCTGGACTGATCCTACATGTGTTTCTGCTGATTTCTTCTCTCTTCCACTGCAGAAGGTGTGAGGAGGATGAGTGACATGAAAATGTGTATTACTAATATGGCTTGTTGACCTGAAAACAATTGTGAGTGGTGATGAAGAGATATTAAGATACTGGCAACGTGTCAGTAGAAAATTCTGACACTATGACTAGCTGTGTAGTTACTGCATAAGGGTCAGTGGCACAGTTAAGTGGCAAATAAAAGCCTTCTTAATTTGAACTTCACGGTCTCTGCTTCTATATTGTTCTAGTGTCTTTTGTTAGCGGTCAAAAAAGAAGAAGTCTTGGAGTTACGAGTATCATAATGATCTGTTCAGCTGTCTCCTACTGTCTCCTACTAGAATTATGAGGAATCGAGGAGCCAGAGGTAAAACCAGAGTCTCCTTCATCATAGCCAACAGCAGGCAGTCATTAAAAATGTGCTGGGAGAAGCTATTCTGAAGCCATTAAAAAGAGAGACCTGCCATATGGTAATGTGTCTTTCTTGTCTCCCTAGTAATATTAGCTCTTTCATAGGCATTACTCGTATACTTCTCTCTGGGGCAAAGGAATGTTGGTTCATCAATATTTGTTAATTATATTGATTTCTGACACTAGAGAACTTGGGGGAGTAAATGAGAAACAAATTAGAAACAGGATCTTACCAAAATCATGCCAAGTCTCTAAATAAATGGTTCTATCAGATTCCACAACTGTCTTACTTCTCCTTGCTAGAAATGGAGGCAACTGACAGATCTCAGTAGTACAAAGAGAAATATGTCAACATAGCATTATACACTCCATCTTATCACTTTGTAAAATTAAGTATTTGTGGTTTTCGTGATCTTTCAGGAAACAGTAATAGATTTACAATGGAGAGATGAAAATGATGAGCGCAAGACATTTATGCTTGGCTCCTCAGCTACATTATCTTTATTTAATTCTCAGTTACCTATGAAGTATACATCAATACTTCTGAGATGGAGAAATTGGGGTTCGAGAGGTAAAGTGACTCCACCAAAGTCATCCAAGTCATTAAATAGCAGATCAAGAAGTCTAATCCAAGTCTGTCTCCAAAGCCCTTATTTTTCACTAATGGAACATAAAACTGATTACTATAAACTCAGTCCCTAAAAGAAGACTGAATTTCTAAAACTGACAATCTAATTAGCATCCTAGAATAATCCTTTTATTTCCCTTAAATTTCCATAGTCAAACTAAAGATAATGGTAACAAAGCTAGAAATCTAATAGCAATACAGTATAATAAATTTATCAGTTATATTACCTTACAGCCTCATCTTCTAGTTTCTTTTTCTGTATTAGCTCTGCCTTTTTTCTTTCAATTTCCTTCAACTTGTCACGTTTGATTTTATAAAGTTGTTCAAGGGCTAACTGCTGTGTATTGTAGCTTTCTCTCAGTTCCTAAGGAGAAAATGAAAACAAGTCAATATGCCATTGATTTAAGTATTTGTCTTATGTGATAATGCGGCACTTTCATTAAGAGACAAAAATCCTAAAGCAAGTTAAACTAAATTAAAAACAGTAAAAGTTTTAAAAATCTCTGGATGATTAAAAAAACACAAATGCAAGTATTTAAGCCTTGTAACTAATATATGTTAAAATCACCTACTTTTGTATTAATTCATTTCTAAGGGATACAGATAAGCCAATTTCATTAAGCCAATTCTTTGACTTGGTACTTTATTTTCAATAAATAGCCAATCCATTAAAAATATGGGGAAGCAATATGCTTACTATTTGAAGAGGAATTCTGTTCAATCATATTTTTTACATATGTAGTTTAACCAAGTTACCCATAACTTATCCAGTAAGTATCTTGAACTAAACACAGAAGCAATTATTGAGTAATTCAGTTAAAACTAAAAATGGGAAGGATAATGTCTACCTAAAACCACTACCAGAGAGAGCCAAAACAGTGAAAAGTATTCAAAACAGAAATTGATAGAAACACTTGTTTATTGAGCATCTAGTTCTACACAGTGCCGCAGAGATATGCAGGGGATCAAATTGAGGGCCCTCAACTCTCAAGTCTGCAGTCTTTGCCTTCAAAGAGCTCACTATCTCAAAGCAGAGAAAAGCGCCTAAATGTGGGATTGAGCTCAGTGCCTTAGCGGAAACCTGTGGGTATCTGTTCAGCATTTTTCCTTATGTCTTCTTCTAAAAGCACCTTTCCCATAGCACCTGCCCCAGCCCTGTTTGATGTGGTTGTGATGAATCTGTCAAATCCAGTGCTCCTTTCACTCTTACTGGGATGCAGTTATGTAATTAGGCCTAACCCATCACAGTAATGACTTGGCCAGAATGACTGGTCCAAAAGACATCTGATCCAAGCTGGGCCAGAATTCTTTCCTGAGATTCAGACAGACTGAAGAGGGGAGAGAGAAGTCTTCCCTTCTTGGAGCTCATTAAACTGGGATAAGCTAAACTTGGAGCTGCCCAACTACAGTGAAGTCATTGGGGTAGAAATGAAAAAAACATGGAAAAGAGAGAAGCAGAGATTGGAGGCAGAAAGAGAGGACTGGGGGGAAGTGAATCTCCAACTGCACTGCTGTATCTTAGAACTGGCCCTGCCCAGTAAGTAGTGACTGACTCAGTGAGCAGTCCAGGTAACTACTCCCGTTCACTTAACTATTTTGAACTTTCTCTTACAGAGAATCTGCAGAATCCTGAACAAGAAAAAAGGCCAGAGTAAGGAAGAGGGAAAAAAGCACAAAACCACCACCCCCAACTAAAACATAAAGTTCTCCAAAGAGATTTCATGGCAAATGTGGGACCTTAAATAAACAGTTCAGCTGACTCTCAAATAACTGGATTTGAACTGTGTCCACCTATACACAGATTTTTAAAAAATAAATACGGCTTTTTTCTCTTATGATTTTCTTAGTAACGTTTTTTTCTCTAGGTTAATTTTAAGAATATAGAATAATATACATATAACACATAAAATCTGGGTTATTCAATGTTTATGTTATAGGTAAGAGGTCTGGTTAATAGTAGGCTATTAGTAGTTAACTTCTGGGGAAGTCAAAAAGTTGTATGCAGATTTTCAACTATATTGGGTGTTGGTGCTCAATTGCGTGTTGCTTAATGGTTAACTATGTTTGGTAGAATGTTTTGGTAAAAAATGTTTTGGGCTATCTACACACACACAATAACAAAACTCCAAACCAAAAAATAATCTTCCAAAACAACTCCAAAAACCCAAACTCAATTTCTTTCCAGAAGTAAAATATTTTGTAGGTGAACCTTTTAACTTGACTGAAGGACTGAAGCAATAGATATGATGATCTGAGTACAACATGGTGCCTGAAGACTATGTCCAAAATGTCTGAGATCAAGACTTGCAGCTGAAGCCAATAACAACACAAATACTGCATTCAGAGCAAAGTTTCCACAAATCTCAGCTTCTATAGTTCTCTTGGTTGCACCTTTCTCTAAATTCTAGTGAAATACATAAGAATATTACTGTCTATGGAGAAGCAGTTTGGTTTAGCGGTAAGGACTCTGGGAACATAGGTCTGAATCAGGCTCTGTCAGTGGTGAGCTGAGTAACCTTAGGAAAGTTACTTTGCAGTTTCCTCATCTGTAAAATGTAACTGTAGTACATGCCTCACAACATTGTTGTGAAGATTAAATGGGTTAATACACATAAAGTGCTTACAACTGCACAGGGCACATGGTAAGTTAATAATTTTAGCTATTATTATTGGCTGAGATCCTAAAGAAGGGGAGTTTAAAAGGAGAGTAAAGAGGAGCCAAATTAGTGTCTGATCTTCTCACTTAGCAATAACCACGGCTCAGATAAATCTCCTTGACTACGATTCTGCCACTGTGCAAAACTAATGTCTGATCTTCTTATGGCTGCAAGGTTAGCCCTCCAACTTGTCCTGTAAGACACGGCTCGAAGTCTTTATTAGCTCCATTCCTCCAGTGTCTGAGTGCATGAGCTTCCCTTGCTCCCCAGGGCGTCCGGTGTCCCTCTATCAGAGTCAGTGTCTCCTGATCATATGGTTGCCACTGGAGTCAGTTTCTTGACAACAGGACTGTCTTTCATCAAAGTTATCCCCACCCAAGAGGGACTGGGATAGTGTGGATATTTAATTACTATTTACTGGATGAACGAGAATGCATAAGTAACAGTCTATACATACTGATAATATCTGAAGAGCACTACAAGGCTTGCCAGAAACTTCTTCCACCTGACCGCAGTGATCTTAGCAATTTCTATCACTAGACTCACTCTCTCGGATCAAGTCTCTGCTTCCAGGAGGCCCTGGTTAAATGTATCAGTTAACTCAGAACAAGTGAACTAATCGAGTAACTATGGACAGAACTACTGCAGTCCTAATAGAATGACAGATCTTCTTTTTCAGTTTGAGGAAGTTCTATTCTTAATTTGCTAGTAAGTTTTTCATATTTTAATCATGAATGGATGTTAAATTTTATCAATGCCTTTTCTGCATCTAATGAGAAATATATACCATTTTTTCCCCTTTAATCTGTTTATGTGGCAGATTACACATTTTTGTATGTCAAACCATCTTTGCATGACTACGGTAAATCCAATTTTTTGGTCACTATGGATTATCCTTTTATAAATTCTGCATTCATCTTTTTAATATTGTTTAGAACTTTTACCTCTATGTTAAACTGGCCCGTAATTATACTTTCTCATAATGTTATCAGGTTTTGATATGTTTCATATCAAAGTTGGGATATATTCCCACATTTTCTGTATTTTGAAAGAGTTGTGTAAGACTAAATTTACTTATTCCTTCAGTAAAAGCTCTGGGCCTGGATTCTCTTTTAGGGAAGATTTCAAATTATAGACTTAAGATATTTTATGATGATAGAACTAACCAGATACTTCATATTTTGAGTCAGTTTTGGTTAAGTTGTAATTTGTTCATCTATGTTTTTATATTTATGTGCAGAAATCTGTCATAGTATCCTCTTCTTTTAATGTCTGAAGCATATTTAATTGTATATCCTTTTCACTCCTAACGAATAATTTTCATTATTTCCACTTTGTTTTAAAATCAGTCTTGCCAAAGGTTTCATTTTATTAATCTTTAAAAGACTCAAACATTGGTTTTCTTTATTCTCTGTATTAGATGTCTGTCTTTTCTCCCATTAATTTCATTCTACTTTTTTGGCTTTATTATGCTGGTCTTTTTAGCTTCTCAAGTTGAATGCTTAGCTTAGAAATTTTCATCTTTTTTCTCCCAATATAACCATTTAAGGTCAAATGCTAACTATTTTGGCTGAAATTCTGCTCTTACACTTACTGGCTGTATGACCTTGGGCACCTTCTGAGTCTTAACTTACTCTTAGGTGAAATGTGGAGAGTAATAGTACTTACCTACATCACAGGATTAATATAGGGATTAATAATATAAGTAAGACTTAAAATGGTGTCAGTCCCGAGAAAGCTCTTAATAAAACCTAGCTAATATTAACATATCTTCATTTTTGAATTAGAAAATAGCTATTGATTCTTGGTATGCCATATGAGTAACCTGCTCATTTACATTATCCTCCATCCCTCTCCATTTCTCCATCTACCCCTGGTTAATCTACTTAGTACCTTTATAACCTGAAAATATACTTTACTATTTCATTTATCAAACATCTGACATGTTGCCATTCTAAATTTTTCTCTGCCTTTTTATTTTGAAAACTTTCAAACATACAGAAAATTCAATTAAGTTGCAGACACTGATGCCTTCACTCCAGATAGTTCACATTATTCTACATAACTATAATGCCAACGCCAGTACCAAACTAAAGAAATTTAACACAGCCATAAAATATCACTTAATATGGAGTTTCTATTAAAAAAAAAAAAGGTCCCCACTAGTGTAAGTACTGTCCTCAATAATAGTTTTCTGATCCATGATCCAATCAAGGGATCATTTTGCTGTCATGATCCTTCAGGTTTGGCTCATGAAGTGCCCTTCAGTCATGGTTCTTTGGTTTCCTTAAATCTGGAAACTTTCCTCCATCTTTTATGAGACTTACATTTTTAGAGTCAATTTGGGCATGTCTAGTTATTTCCTTACACTTAGATAAAATATTTTTGGCAAAAACTTAGATAAAATATTTTTGGCAAAAACAGTATAGAAATGATGTTGTTTCTTTCAGTGCAACATATCAGGAGACACAAAACGTTGGTTAGGGTGCCTGGGTGGCTCAGCTGGTAAAGCATCCAACTTTAGCTTGGATCATAATCTCACGGTTCGTGGGTTTGAGTTCCGCATCGGGCTCTGTGCTGACAGCTAGCTCAGAGCCTGGAGCCTGTTTCAGATTCTGTGTCTCTCCCTCTCTCTCTGACCCTCCCCTGCTCACGCTGTCTCTCTCTCTTTCTCTCTCAGAAATAAGTAAAACATCAAAAGAAAAAA